CCCATCTAATGGGTGTATTTTAGCATCCGGGTATGCAGTGGCTAATCTTTATTAGATGCTTGTTATATGGTAGAGTTTTCTGCACTGGCATCAATTACCTTGCTTATTATTGTTTATTTTGGTGCCAGCACTGGGGCTTGAACTCAGGGCCTTTGTGCTCTCCCTTAACTTTGCGCTCAACACTTAGCGCTCTACCACTTGAACAACTCCACTGCTGGCATTTTACTGGCTAACTGGATAAATAAGTCTCATGAGCTTTCCTGCCCAGGCTGGCTTTGAACAGAAATCCTCACATCTCAGCCTCCTGAGGAGCTAGGACTACAGGGGTGTGCCACCAATGCCTGGCTAACTTTACTTCATTTCTCCCATGCAAACCCTCTACGCTAAATTCAAGTACCACCTTCTCCCTGCACAGGGGGCACAAGTGCAGGGAGGCTGGAGGCCCTGGCCGTGCAGCAAACCAGGGGCTGGTACCAGGCTGCAGCAATCCCATCACCGCTACCATCACCACCATCACTGTCACCACAGCCACCGGCCGCTGCCCTCACCTTCATCACTGAGTTGTAGATGGAGATGAAGTTGGTGAAGAGGTCCAGGTACCTGGTGGTGAAGACCAGTGCGAAAAGGATCTGGCTCTTCCCAGAGATGCCTGTGCCAAGAAGGGGCAGGAGACAATGAGGACACAGATTGGAGGACCAGGACAAGCCCCACCCACGCCACTGGAGTCCCTGTTCCCTTCAGTAAGCTGGAAGCCACTCCTCTCATAAAGACTCGGACACGGGCTGGGAATGTGGTTTAGTGGCAGAGTGCTTGCCTAGCATGCATGAAGCCCTGGGTTTGATTCCTCATTACCACATACACAGAAAAAGCTGGAAGTGGTGCAGTGGCTCAAGTGGTAGAGTGCTAGCCTTGAGCAGAAGTAGCTCAGGGACAGTGCCCAGGCCCTGAGTTCAAACCCCAGGTTTAGCAAAAAACAAACAGACTTGAACACCAAGTTGCCAGTATTCGGGTGAGGGGGGATTGGGGTGATGAGCTGGGCTGTGTGGGGTATTGTGGTGTCTCTGCACTCCAACCCCAGAGCTCCATCTTGGGGACCAGCTCAGTGACTCTGGGTGCAATTTACCAAGGAGACCAGAACAGGGGGAAGAAGGTGCAAAGAGGGCAGCATTTGAGTTGATTTTCCAAAATGCAGGTTTAAAAATCCCTTTCTTGGTTATCAAAATTATAGTCATAGCCAGGCACTGGTAGCTCACACCTGTCATCCTAGCAATTCAGGAGGCTGAGATCTGAGGATCACAGTTCAAAGCCAGCCTGGGCAGGAAAGTCTGTGAGACTCTTTCTCTAATAAACCACTAGAAAACCAGAAGTGGTGTTGTGGCTCAAGTGGTAGAGCGCTTGCCTTGAGCTGAAGAGCCCAGGGACAGGGCCCAAGCCCAGAGTTCAAGCACCACGACCGACCACAACCCTCAGATGTCAGCCTCCGGAGTAGCTAGGATTATAGATGTGAGTCACCAGCGTCTAGTTCCCCCCAACATCACTTAGCTTCCCCCATTACTCCCCCATTCCACTGCCCCTCAGCCTAGTCACCCTCTTCTAATGACCCCTCAATGATCTCACCAAACCCTTTGTTGCTGTCCCCCCCACCCCAATTCCATTTTCTATCTAGCATCCTAAGGGCTACTTTTTAAATTTCTTTTTTTTTTTTTTTTTTTGGTTGGTTATGGAGCTTGAACTCTGGGCCTGGGTGCTGTCCCTCAGCTCTTCAGCTCAAGGTGAGTGCTCCATCACTTGAGACACAGCACCACTTCCGGTTTTCTGGTGATTAACCGGAGGTAAGAGTCTCATGGACTTTCCTGCCCGAGCTGGCTTTGAACCATGATGATCCCCAGATCTCAGCCTCCTGAGTAGTTACAACTACAAGCATGAGCCTTCTTTTAAATTTCTCCTCCCAGTTCTTTTCTGTTCTTGGCAGTGTTGAGATTGAAACTCTAGGCCTCACACTGCCAAACAGGCACTCTACCACTTGAGCCATGCTCCAAGCCTTATTTGCTTTGGTTAGTTTTGAGATAGGCTCTCACTTTATGTTCACTCTTCCTGGACCTCATTCCTCCATTTTTCCACCTCCCAAGTAGCTAAGATGACAAGTATGAACCACCACACCCACATCTCATTGAGAGGGGCCTAACTTTCCCCAGGGCTGGCCTTGAACCCAGATCCTCCAGATCTCTGCCTCCTGACCAGCTTGAATGGTAGGCATGAGCTACGATGCCTGGTCACTGCTTCAAGCTCCTAAAGTGGCATCCAAACGCCTTTAAAATAGAACCAAGCCCTGTCCCAGCTCAGGAGCTCCTGCGCGCGCGGCTTCCTCCCCAGCCCCCTGCTCCCCTGACAGGGTAAGGGCATCTGCATTTTATTCCAAATGATGTCTGCGTGTGGGCTGAGACCAGTGTGGCCTGACCCAGCAGCTGGGTCCACCACACACCTACACCTACGTGGCTTTACTAAGCACACCTCTGGCGCTGGAGGCTGTTGGAGCTGGGGGGAGTTTCTTTTTAATTTTTGTCAGTCATGGGGCTTGAACTGAGGGCCTGGGCTCTGTCCTTGAGCTCTTTTGCTCAAGGCTAGCGCTCTACCACTTTAAGCCACAGCACCACTTCCAGTTTTCTGGGAAAAAGTTTCCACTTTTTGGAGATAACAATCTCACGGACTTTCCTGCCTGGACTGGCTTTGAACCGTGATCCCCGGATCTCAGCCTCCTGAGTAGCTAGGATTACAGGGATGAGCCACCAGCGCCCAGCAGTACATTTCTTGTTGAACATTGTTACCCCCTCCCTTGTTTTCTTCCACTTTCCCTCCCCCCATGGGGGCCATTTTTAACGACTGAGGGGGAACACTGCTAAAGCCGCTCCTGTCACGGCGGACGCTGGGGCTGGGTGTTGGTGCCACGCAGACCCAGGCCTTAGCTCCTCACTTATAAACTGAGCATCCTCTCACACATGGGACATGAGGAATAATGAGGACCCAAATAGAGTACTGAGGGGGCTTGTGCACGTTGGGGAAAGGACAGGGGAGCCCAGGGCAGGGGGCTGTGCAGACTGGGGCTAAGACCAGCTCTAAGCTGGGCTGGACACACACAGGGCCACCTCTATGTCCTCACAGATACATATCAGAGCGAACCTGTTTAGGACAGTCCAGGAGGCAGCCTGTGGGGGAACATGGGCCACATCCATCCCCGCTGGTGGGGCCCTGGGCTTCACACCCATTCTCCTGGAAGCCCTGGTCATTGACCACATTGCTCTCACTCTGTGTGTATGTGCGCGTGCGTGCGTGTGCACGCGCCCTGATTCAGGCCCTTGGGCTCTTGTTTAGCTTTTCTGCTCAAGGCTGGTGCTCTACCACTTGAGCTACACCTCCATTTCTGGCTTTTTGCTGGTTAACTGGATATAAAAGTCTCGCGAATGGGCTGGGAAGGTGGCTCAGTGGTAGAGCGCTTGCCTTGCATGCATGAGGCCCTGGATGGGTTCGATTCCTCAGCACCACATAAGCAAAAAGAAAAAAGCCACAAGTGGTGCTGTGGCTCAAGTGGTAGAGTGCTAGCCTTGAGCTGAAGAGCTGAGGGACAGCGCCCAGGCCCAGAGTTCAGGCCCTACAACCCTACCCCCCCCAAAAAAAAAAAGTCTCACAGACTTTTCTGCCCAGGCTGGTTTCAAATCACAATCCTCACATCTCAGCCTCCTGCGCAGCTAGGATTATAGGTGTGAGCCACCAATACCGGCTGTGCTTTCATACTTTTGAATTTCAAAAGACATCAATGGTTTCCACCAAGGCAGGACATGCATGGAGACCAGCGCAGAATAGCCAGCCCAAGTCTGGCCAGTCCCCAAGGGGATCTTGGAGCCCACGTGGGCAAGAATGGCCAGGGGCAGCCCACCCTCTCAAGGCGCAGGCCAGACAGCAGGGGCCCAGTGTCACAGGGTGGAGCCTGGCTGCATCGAGCCGGGCCCCTTGGTGCTGATGGACTGTGTGCATACCCCGCCCCAGCACCTAGGCCCCTCAGAAGCCATCCCATTTGCTCAGTGCTGCCTGGACGGCCATGGAGCCTAGCACTATGCGTGGCCCCGCGGGCCCCGCGGGCTGGGACGGGCTCCCCCTCCCCCGTCGCCCCTCAGCATCCTGGCCCACTTTGCTGGAGCCAGACCCTGAAAGGGTGCAGACCTCTCCACGCTCGGATGGCCTCTGCCTTTCCAAAGGATCCCCCCCCCGGCCCCCTGCTTTCGCCAGCCCCTGGGGGGGGCCTCCACCTGCTCCCCCTCCAGATTCCACAAAGAGGGGCGTCCCCGCCCCCCCTACCCCTCCTCAGCCTGATACAAAAAGGCCTTTCCCCCCTGGACCACTCTCCCTGCGTCATCCTCTGGGTCTGGGCTTTGAGGCCTCTCACGTTCGCACCCCCAGAGTCTCAACGCTGTGCGCCCTTCCGGGCCCCCCGCCCCGCAGCGCGAGGCCGCTCCCGCCACGCGGCCCCTGCGCCCACGCCACCGTCCCCACCCGGGCGAGGAGGGCACGGGAGGCCGGACGGCTTCCCACCGTCCCGGCGATGTCGAGACCATCGGCCCAGCCCTGAGCGGGGCGACCCGGGCGAAGGCCGGACCCCTGGGGCGTCCCGGGCCCTGGGCTGGGGGGCACCGGCCACAGCACGCCCAGGGTCACCCCAAGGCGGGGGAAGAGAGGATGGATCCTGCCGGGAAAGGGGGGGCCGCTTGCTGAGTGTCCTCCCCAGTGGGTGACTGGGGGGCGCGACCCCCTCCCTGCGGTCCCCGCGCCCCGCTCCTCACTTTGGGGGGAAGAGCTCTTTTTGAGCCCTTGGGGCCGGGGTCCCCACCCTGAGCAATCCCGGGGCCCCTTGTCCGGCCGCCGGGGGGGCAGGGTGTGGCCAGGCTCCCCCCGTCCGGGCAGGGCCCCCCCCGGCGCTCCTCACCCGCGCAGCTCTTGGACCTCCAGATCTTCCCCAGGAGCAGAATCATGGCCAGGAGGTGGCTCAGGTCGCCGAGGATTCGGAACACGTTCATGGTCCCGCCGGCCGCTCCCGCGCCGCGGCAGCAAACTTCCAGGCAACTTTCTCGGGCGCGCGGGGCGCTGCCACGTCCCGGGCCGCGGCCTCGCG